CATTCATCATCTAACGAGCATTCGGTGTTGACTGACAACTAAGATACTTTTCGGTACAAGGCACCGGATGTTGAAGTCGCTTTCTCCCTGCTTTCCCGGGACGCCGTAGCCTGCAAGCAAAGCGGCTGCCAAAGCCTAAAGCGTAACATTTCACCACTGAGGGTTCCACAAAGACGGCGCATGACCGTATACCAGGAACCATAGAGAATTTTTCCTATAGCCTAGCCCCGGAAGCCTGCAACAATGGGCACCGATCCGCACAGCTTTCACGTAAGGCTCGAAAGCGGCTTTAGGCGACCTTGCGACCCATCACTCCACTCAAAACTGTAAGCTGAACAGACTAACGTGTAAACTAAACTCTGAACAGCATCCTTTCCCCCTACTCCTCCACACCCCTGGACCTTTGCCCAACATTATGAACGAGAGCTCTCAATTGTCCGCATTCCGAAAACCCCACAGCCCGAACTCCCTAACCAGCCCACCAAACCAAAACAGTCCCGAGGCCCAAGACAGAACAACCCCGTAAGCAGTATGGTTTGGGGCCAAGAGTTTACGCTTAAATGCTTTTGGGGCATTAAGGTTTGCGAAAGGTTCTAGTTCTACTCTAAACGTTAAACGTCCAAACCGTACAGCCCTAGATTGTGCAAGCAAGCGTTCCGCCGGGCAGCAGATGAAACAGCGCCTCTCTTTAGCGACCTCTGCCAGAGCGTGCCGACAGGTGCCAGGTTCGCAAAGCTCCTCCTGGAATTTAAGTTAAGAGCTCTGCAAGGAAATGATGTTGTCTGCAAGGTTGTTGTAGGTGTCCTCTCAGAGTTTAGAGCTAAGAGATAGTGGGGCCAAGAAACGATACAGGTTCAAGTGTCTTGGGTTTAGGAGCTTGTGCTGCTGGCCTTTCGGGTCTTGGGAGAAGTTTTGCCACCTTGCTGCGATAACCTTGTGAAAAAACGGCCGCGGCGAGTTTGAGACAGAAGGAAGCTGTTTCAAAAACGGAAAGGGGCGCTGTATGGAGGCCCAGTTTTCCCACACAGTGGATTTGCAGGATTTCTTGGATGCCGTGTCTATTAGTCTTACCTATACTGCTTCAGTGATGGACCACATGTTTCTTCTTCCTTGTCATTAAGTATTGCAAAGCAAGAGTAAAGATTAAGAACAACATTTCATTATATTCAGTATTTCAGTGTTTGGGCTCCGAGGAATGGAGGAGG